AAAAAATTCACTCTGAATTTCAGGATTTAAACTATTAAGTCATACCACCACCAATCATTTCAAAATAATGTTAAAAGTAGATAGAACTTTCATGAAACATAGATGATTCTTCCTATGTGTGAAACTGTATGACGTCGGAGCAAATCAGCATTGTCTGTCATTAGCATACTAGCAAGCCAATTGAGTATTTTGTAGTAGACCGCTATTTGTGGTCTGTGACAAGACACATTTGTCTGAGTCCACAAACTGGCTGGATGCAGTCCTGTCCTTTCTGAACCCCATTTCTAGGAAGAGATTAAGAGGAGGAATTCCAGCTTTTAGTTCTTTTGCTACAGAATATTAACAAGAAAACTTCTGTAGAATTAAATACCCTAGTATGGCTAAGGTCATACTAACTAAACCAATTCTTGTCCCTAGAAACTCTCATGAGAAAGACCTGATATGAACAAAACCTACTAAAAGGAGGTAGCTTAGGCAATATGTGGGAATGTTTTGGCGTGGAAGGGAAAAATGTGCCACCAAAGGGCTATTTGAATGTACTTTAAAATATTTAGGACCATATTTTATTATAAAATGAATTCTTAAATCTATCCTGGTCACTCTCAAAACCCTTTTCTCAAACCCTAACCTTGAGCTTAAATCTTCAAGACAATCTAGCTAAAAGATAGCAGACTTAATAGGGACACAACAAAATTTAAAATTTAAAAATCTACAAAGTTAAGCATAGTTCCTCTTGAATTTTATCTTTGTATAAAGAGCAAAAGATGAAAATTGTTTCTTATCCTCTATTGAGATTAGAATTTCATTTGCTATCACAAATTTTGTATAAAATACACAGCCACAGTACCTAGCAAAAATAAATTGTTTGGTTGGAAATATCACCTTAGAGTGATAAATACGAAGTTTTCCTGGAGTTAAACAGAAAGGTAGCTTTGTTAAAGAAACGTAAGTTTTTGTGAATTGTAGGGATTATGAATACAAGGTAATGTGAACGTTGCTTTGTTGCTTTCCATTTGAATAGAGTGCTACAGGTTTCCACAATTTCTGTAATACATACTTAGGGATATAAAACCATTATAGTCACTTGAACTTTACTTATATATTTATTTAAATTAAAGGCTAGTTTCTATCATATTTGATTGTATGAGAACTGTCCTCATGCATTTTCATTTGAAGCTCACAGTTATAAGACCTTTAACGTTTGTGGCTAGACTATGTGGTGTATGATACGTGTCCTTCGGGTAAAGTACTATTTGTTGTCAGGTGTTTACCAGAGTCCAACCAATAAAAGACATATCATTATTGCCTAACAAACTAAATTCTATTTCATTTGAGCATTTGATTTCCACTAGAAAGCTCCTATGAGTCACTGTATTAAGTAGTCCTTTCAACACAAGATGTTCAAATAAAGCTGTTTCTGCTGGTTTTAAATAACATCATCCTTTTATAGAATATAAACTTATAACTTTTTTCTTTTTACAAGGACATTTTAGAAAAGACTTCTTGAGATTGTTTCATTACAGATGAAATAAGAATGCCAAACCCTTTCCAAATTCAGTGAACTATGTGTATCAAAGAAGTATTCTCTTCTGTTACTCTGTTGATCAAGCACACCAAACACTGTGCAAGTATGGGCACTACCTCCTAAAACTCACCAGCTATTTCACATGACATGTGAAGCAGGGCAGAAGCAAAGCATAGTAAAAAAAACAAGAGCTGCCATCTTTGGAAAATTTATTATATACTTTTTGTTAGTCACTTTAAATTTTTATAGTAATTCTTACAACAGTCATTTGACATATTAGAAAAATGAGTCTCAGATTAATTTACTGAAATGATTTTAGGACTATAGAAAAATAAAGCTTGAAACCTAGACCCAAGTGTTTTTCTTTGCTTAAAAAATGTTACAGGTTGGGGGAAGTGAGAAAAAAATTGATTTCTTGCAGATGACATGAAATTGTTAATTGGGACTGTCTTCATAGTAAGTCATGACAATTTTGTATGAAAACTAACAGGGCCCTTGATATTTGTGAATTTGTGGTTAGATATTCAGGCTGAACATATAGGGATAAAAGTTGATCTATGCTAGTTAAATCAAAATAAAATTATGTATTTTAAAACAATCCTATTGCAATGAAATTCCTTGGTAGGACATGACACTGTGAAATATTTGCTAACTTCCATTTGCATTGATAAATAAGGAGACTATGAAATAAAGACGGATGATTAATTCCAAAGTACAGTTGTGTTTCTGTTGAGTGTCAGAGGTTGTCAGTAGTTAACGTATTTTCTTAGATTAGAAGACAAACGAACTTCACCCCAGTAAAGGTTGGAAGGAAATACATTACCCTACTAGATATAGATATAGAAAGTCAGGATGTACAAAAGCTATGTGAAAAAAAAAGTCCCTTTATAACATTGAAACACATTGTTCTTAGAAAGGAGTATGACATTAATTAAAAAAAATTAGAAGGACACTTTAAGTTATCCCTACATGGTCATAACAATTTAAAATTGAATAGTATTTTCAATTCAATGAGGGAGTTAGCATTTTGAAGCAATCTTGAAAAAATTTTTAAGTTAAAAATATTCTTAATTTGATGACTTTTTTTATACCAAGGCAAAAATTATACAATAATATATACTTTATTCTAAAGAGTATGGTTTAAGAGTTCTGTATAAGAAAATAAATATTCATTGAATCCTTTTGTCTTATCAAAAGCAAACCTGACACAGGTTTGAAACATTGGGACTCTAAGACCCCAAAAATAACATTCATTTTTCCAAAATAGAGTCATTAACCAAATTTTATATCCCCCATACATATATACACACACATAACTTTGACAACAACCAAAAAAATCCTTTGTATAATATCAGTTACCAAAAGAGAATTCAAAATTATCTTTGACCACACAAAACTGAATCGCAAGCATTTAAAGGAGAGAATTGATGGAAACTCTTTTAGTAGATTACTGTAAATACAACAAGATTTTAATTTTTATCAAAATAAATTTATTGAATATTTTTAAAAAGAAATTTCACAACCTAAAATAAAATGATATACAAGTAACAATGCAATTTTCTCTTTAAAGAATATTCAATGTAACAATTATATTTATGGACTAATTCTTAATATATAAGTATAAAAATATGAATTTATTTGAAGTGGAATCAGAAGCCAATTGTTTTAAGTAATTACCAAAATAAGAAAATAAAAAATGTTAAAGAGAGGTCAAGAGATATAGGGGATAGAATAAGTGGGGCGAAGGCAATATTTGGGGAATATATTTGAAGAATTTCCAAGAACTATTGAAAGGCACTGTATTAGTTCTCCATTGCTGCCATAACAAATTACCACAAAAATGTGGTGGCTTAAAACAAACTTATTGTCTTCTAGTCCTGGAGGTCAGAAGTCTAACACTGGTGTTGGCAGGTATATCCCTTTCTGGAGGCTTTAGGAGAGAATCTGTTTCCTTACCTTTTCTAGCTTCTAGAAGCTACCTGCATTCTTTGACTCGCAGTACCTTCCTCCATCTACAAAACCAACAAGAGTGCGCTGAATCCTTCTTACTTCATATCACTCAGACCATCTCTTCTGTCTCCCCCTTTCATTTTATGAATCCTTGTAATTATACTGAGCCTGCCTAAATAATCCAGGATAATCTTTTTATCTTAAGGTCTGCAGATTGGTAACTTTGATTTCCTCTACAACCTTAACATAGATATTCATAGGTTCTGGATATTAAGGTATGAACATCTTTGGGGACCCATTGTCTGCCTATCACAGATACCAATCCACAGATTCACGAGGCTCAATAAACCTTAAGCAAGATAATTTTAAAAACACACATACAGACAAGTAGACACATCATAACTAAACTGCAGAATATCAAAGAGAAACAGAAGATATTTAAAGGAACCATACAGACAGGACAGGCTATTTTCAAGGAGAAAGAAAAGCAGACAACTACTAAATTATTAACAGTATCAATGAAAATTAGGAGACATTAGAATGTCGTCTTCAGTGTGCTGAGAGAAAATAACTGTGAATTTAGTATTCTATATATATTTTATAAATATGTCTTTTAAGTATAAGCTTGAAATAAAGATTTTCCAGAAAAGTTAAAACTGAAAGTTTAGAAGTAAAAGACCTCTCCAAACGACATCTTTAAAAAAATCTACTTCGATTAGAAAAAAAGGGACCCCAGATAAAATCTGAGATGTAAGAAGGAGTGAAGAGCAAAGAAAGTACGGTGGAGAAGCACACTGGCTCTTAATAAGAGTCTTGTGGGATTGAGCATAAAGCACATAAAAATAACATTTAAAATGGTGTCACAAGGACTTTTGTGGTATAGTGAAAATTTGGATACCATAATGTTTGTTTAATGACAAAAATTAATTCAATAAATTATGGTGTATCAATTCAACAGAATTCCATGAAGCCACTGGAAAATAATATTATATAAGCATGTATTTTGTACAGTATGATATAGGCAAATATGTAAACATATAAATATAGTGTATTTACCATATCTTAGTAAGTAAAAGAAAGCAGTCTGCTAAACAGCAAATATAGATATGGTTTGAGACTTCTTGTGTAAACAACATACAAACATATGAGCACAGAAAAAGTATTAGAACAATATTCACTGAACATCTTAAAAATTATTTTCTCTGAGGGAAAATATAGTTGTGTTTGCATTTTCTTTTTTGCCATTATATTTTCTCACATTCTATAATGTATATGTTACTTCAAAATAGGTTTTGTTTATAACAGTTTTAGAGTTACAGAAAAATTGCTAAAATAATACAAAGATTTCCCATATAGCCTACACAGTTACTTCTACTGTTAGTATCTTACATTAATGTGGTTGATTTATGATTAATAAACCAATACTGATATATTATTAACTGAAATTCATACATTATATAGGTTGCCTTTGTTTTTACCTAATTCTTTTCTGTTCCAATATCCCATCCAGAGTACGTACGTTACATTTAGTTGTCATGTATCCTTAGGCTCTTCTTGGCTGTAACAACTCCGAGGAGAACTGGTCAGATATTTTGTAAGATACTCCTCTAATGGAATTTTTGTGATATTTTTCTTATGATTTGACTGAGGTTGTAAGTTTGGAGGAGGAAAACCATAGAGGTAAAGTGCCATTTTCTTGATACCATATTACATCAGAGGTACATGATATCCACGTGATTTATCTCTATTTACATTGACTTTGATCAGTGTTCTTAGTTTTCTCCATTGCAAAGTTAATTCTTTTCTTTTTCACCCTCTTTTTCCATACTGCACTCTTTGGAGGAAGTGCTATGTACTTCCCACACTTAAGGAGTGGGGAGTTATGTTCCTTCTCCTTGAGGGTGGAGTAGCTACATAAATTATTTTAATTCCTCTGCATGGGAAGTTTGTCTTTAATTTCCCATTGATTTATTTAATCACTGTATCAGTAAGGGCTCATGGATATTTAATTTATCCTTTGAGTTATAATCCAATACTTCTTTGTTGCTACAATTGGTCTATCTTTAGCCACTGGGAGTTCCTTCAGTTGGCCCCGTGTTTCTTTGACATACCTCACTGTATGTGTGTTGTTTCAGTTCTGATTTTGGTTTTGGTTTTTAGCATCTCCTTATTCTCTGGCACCACAAGATGCTTCCAGCTCATCTTGTACATTTTTACTCCAATCTTACAATCAGTCATTTCTCCAAGAATCCCTGGTTTACTTTAATGAAGAATGGTACTAGAAACCAAGATCTGGACACTAGGTGCGTTCATTTTTACAGCATCGTCTTCAAATCATATCTCTCCATTTGTTTAGGCCTTCTTTGACTTCTTTCATCAGAGTTTTGCAGCTTCTTAATGTAGATTCTGTTCAAATTTGTTAGATTTATACCTATTTCATTTTGAAGGGGTTGTTCTTTTTAATTTCAAGTTCCATTTGTGCACCGCTGCTGTATAGGAAAGCAATTGACTTTTGCATGTTAACCTTTTATTATGTGACCTTACTATAATTGCTTATTAGTTTAGTGAGGGTCTTTTTGGTATATTTTTTGGGATTTTCTAGATAGACATTCATGCCATCTACAAACAGCTTTATTTCTTCCTTCCTTTTCTTTTCAAATCTTATTGTGCTGGTTAGAACTTTCAGTATAATGGTGAATGTATATATGTGCTTTTTACATTTTTTATTTTCTTAGATCTGTTACTCATCTTCAAATATTCATTTCTGAATCATTTTTGGTTTTTGTTTATGTCATTCTTTAATATTTTCTATTATTTAAAAATTGCTCTCCTTTTTGAAATATTCCATTATAGTTTTCATCCACCTTTTTTGCTTCATATTCTCTATTCTATTATAGCAACTTTAAATGAAATTCAACCATGATCCTTTTCTGTGGTATACCTTTTAGACTAAGTTATTCTGTACTTTTGAGAGGGAGGATTGGGTAGAATAGCTTTCCCACTTTCATGGCTCTAGAGTTTCCTTTTTAATATTTCATAAAATGACACATTGGTATCCTTGTATTTTCTGAGATCTGTCTCCTTTCTATTTTCCCACTTTTACCTGCATCTGCTTTTTCCTTGGTCCCTGTTGTCTCTGTTCTGTTTAATTCGATTTCTACTTTCTCCTTAGTGTTGGGCTATGTTCAAGAATGGAGTTCCACTGTTCACAGGTCTCACATTCCTCCAGCAACTTCAGACCCTCCTGCTCATTACTTTACACTTAGCTGAGCTTAGAGTCTGCTGAACTCCCTGCCAGTTTTGCCATCAACCTCACACTGGTTTCCCGTTTTCTAGCAATCATTTGTTGGCATTTTTGGGGCCTTCCTATTCTGAGGGTCTTCAGATGATCTGTTGTTTTCCTACCATTTCCTCCTACACAGTTGCTGATGTTGAGTTTTCTCCTTTCTGTTCATATTTTGAGATTTGTAGGGATTCTTTTCCACCTAGTTATGTTATAGCTATCATCTGGGATTGTTGTTATTGTCTATCCTAGATGCTTTATCTGTCTTTATGAGAAGATTCAGGAGGTTCACAGACTACACTGCCTCTCTAATCATCTTCCCAGACTCTTTAATATTCATGTATTACTTGGAAGGATATGGTATTTTAAAATACATTTTAAGTTTTTTTTCTGTATTTTTGGAATCAGACAAAATGCAGGTTGAAATCATTATAGATGAGTGGTAGATTCTTCCCTTTAGCTACCTTTCAAGTCATGTTTAAAAACAGGTTTCTTTTTGGCTTTCCCAGCCTGAAATTAAAGTACTCACAAGCATTATTCTATTTCCACATCTCCTCATTTCCAACTTGCTGAAGAGTAGTCTAAGACTTAAAATTAGAATTAAGCTTAAAAGAATGGAATTTGTAATGATTGCCCAATGTTTGAAATAAAATGTTTGGAGGCGTTCATAATCATATTTATTACTGTATTTTTATGTCCTAAAGTATTAGTTCTATCTGTAGCCCCCTTCTTATTCTACAAACTAGGGTCCAATTTAACAAAGTGGCTACCAATTGTCTGAATATGACCCACAGATATATTTTATTTAGCCTGCTCAGTATTTTAAAACAAACAAAATAGCTGTCAACACTTCAAAACCAGATTTCATATTTATGACTATTGTTAAAAAATTGACATCTGGTGTGATTAGGCCCATATTCTCTCTTGGAACTTGTACCCTGATTAAAAAGGAAAGTATCAGCTTTGTGATACTTTCCTTCCAGATGCTTCTCTCATTTGCTACCTTCCAGTACCCATAGGTATTATGCATTTGTACCCCATGTAGTATCTGGTTGAGTCTATCCTCTTAAATTGTCTTAAACTACTAGTATGCGCTCATTCTTTTTAAATCTGTTTCTACTCAGATGTCCTGCCGACTCCCTAGAATCCACATTTTTAAAATCAAACTATTTTTTCAAAGCCTATTTTTCCTCCAGTATTCGCTAAATGACCCAGTTAATATTATAGTATTCCTAACAGTTTTCCAAGTTAGAGAAACCCTCCAGGTCATCGTCTCCTCCTTCTGCCTCATCCTATCCACAGCTTTTCAGTGATGTGCAAATCCATGATGTGCTTAGGTCTTTGCTTTCACTTTTCCCAATACCGTAAACTTCTTTACTTTGAGACACCTGTAAAACTCCTACTTACTTTCCAAGATGAAACAAAATTATTCAATCTCCAAAACTACGTCCTCTGCCTCAAGGAGCAATTAGTTGCTTCTTTCAAAGTACAAGCATCTCAAGTACATGTTATATGCTATTTATTTACTGCTGGCTCCTCCATTAGATTAGGGATTCCTTGAGGACACAGAGCATGATTTAGTCATTTCTGTATCACCAGTACTAAGACAAAAAGCATAGAACTTGATAAATGTGTCAAATAAATAAACACATGAACTTTACAAATCAACGAAAATATTGTTTCATATGATTTCATCTTCTTAAACTTTCTATATGTTTCAATTTTTTCTCAAATTGACTTCTTTGGATTGATACTAGAATCATTTTAGATTTTGCACCAAATGACTACAAAGTTAAATGTCTAGGACAAAAGAAAATGTATTGGCTTCTTCACTAAAATATGAAGTTTTTTTTGTTTGTTTGTTTGTTTGTTTTTTTGCTTTAAAACTTGGCTTAAACTATCTAAGGATGCCATGTATTAACTCTGAAAAAAATGTATAATTATTTATAAAGCAGATCCCATAGGAGCAACTGAACAGCTGTGGAAAGTTTTGGCACATCACTTTGCCAGCCTGAATTTAATGACCTACATGTGAAGGGCTACATATCCAATTACTAATCCTCCCTCAGCTACTCTTTGCCCTGATATGGAGGCAGCTGAAAAAAGACGCCCTACTAACAGATCAGAAGTAGATCCAGACTTTTTTGCTAGTGCTCAGTTAAGAAAGATCTTTCAGGTTTGAGATGAGGAAAACAGAGAGGGACTCAGAACAGTGTTGTATCTGACACAGTGTTTCAAGTAAAATTTAAAGGCTTATGGTGAGAATGACTTTAGCTTTGTAACTAAAGACAAAGAAATTTCAGCTCTTTTAGAAAACCTCAAATTCTGAATTTAATTTTCTATTCACCGAAGCATTTAAACATGTTCAAATATCTTCAAGCATCAAGGATAATTTACTTTAAAATTCTTTCTATGCTGAGAAGCCAGTCTTCTATTCAAAAATGCAAACCTCATTCTCATCTTCAATTTCTGCAATAATTACCTATTAGGAGAAGAGGGGGAAAAAAACTAAACAGAAAATGACAATCTATGGGATTGTGTTTCATTTCTCTTTAGTTGACATAGTCTATACAGATAAAAAAGATTATATAAGGTCAAATATTATAAACAATGAAATGTCATCTGATGTTTTGCAAAACAGCATAGAAAAAATAGTTAAAGGAATGAATAAAGAGTAAAGCTATGGCTGTTTTACCTGAGCCATGAAAAAGGCTTACAGATTCTAAATTTAAATGCATTTTATTGTGAATCTGACTCACTTTTTGAATTTAATTTTCCACTTATGTAAAATCATGTGATACGGTAATTTTCTGTATAAATTAAAAATAACTGGAGGGAAGATCCAAGATGGCCGTTCAGGATTGCAGCTCCCAGTGAAAGCGCAGAGGGTGAGTGGACGCCGCATTTTTATTGCCCACAGACTAGGAAATTCCCAGGCGGAGGAGCTCCACGGGTCGCCAGTGCAGCTGTTTCGGCCAGCGCGGCTGTCCCAGCCGGCGCCGCTGCTTTGCCCCGCACGGCTGCTTTGTCGGCGCCCCGGAGCAGCGGTTCAAAATACACCGTACAAAATACACCGGTCCGGGTGCCCTTCTGGCTGGTGATTGGAGCCACAGGAAGTCACCCATTCGTCTGTATAAAAAGGGGACTGAGCAGGGAGCCAGGAGAGTAGATTCCAGGGCAAAAAAAGCGCCACGAATCTCAGTGCCGCTGTTTAAGCCAGCACAGTGAGTTGTCGCACAGGAAAAAACACACACTGCGGCGCCTCTTCGACAGGCGAAAGGAATACCAACTTTAAAAAAAAAAAAAAGGCACTGAGGCAGGGAGCCTGACGATCAGGCTAGGCTGGTCCCACCCCCACAAAAGAACAGCAATCAGAAACTCTGGATTGAGAGTTTCACAGCAAGCGCTGCTGAACCCAGGACAGTCCAGCTCTGTGGGGGAGGGGCGTCCGCCATTACCGAGGCAGCCCACCACTTCAGAGGTAGTCAGTCAATGCTCAGGCAGCCCGCCGTTGCCAAGGCAACCCACCATTGCTGAGGCAGCCCGCCATTGCCAAGGCAACCTGCCACTGCAGAGAGGCTCTGCCTTAACAGAGGTGGGCCACCCTTGCCAAGGCAGTTCTAACTACACCCATATAAACAGGACTGCAGGGAAGTTCACTCGGCAGCTGGACGGAGCCCACAACAGCTCAGCAAAGCCTCTACAGGCAGACAGTGACTAGGCTGCCTCCTTGCTGGGCAGGGCAGCTCTGAAGGAAAAAAAAAGAAGGCAGCAGAATAACGGAAACTCATAAAGCCCTAAATCCCTGGGACAGAGCACCTGGGAACAAAAAGCAGTTTATGAGTTCTGCTGCAGCAGACTTAAACATACCTGCCCAGCAGCTCTGAATGAACAACAGAGCTCACAGCTCAGCATTTGAGCTCCTATAAAGAAGAGACCGTCTCCTCAAGCAGCTCCCTGACCCCTGTATATCCAAAGAGCCACCTCATAAAGGAGAGACCAGACTGACACTTGGCGGGTATCCTTCTGGGACAAAGATAGCAGAAGAAGAAAACTGGTAACAACTCTTACTGTTCAGCAACTGCTGCAGGTGAACCCCAGGCAAGCAGGGCCTGGAGTG